TCTGATCCTTTTCATATGTCACTCCCATTCTGTTTCCTCCCACATATAATGTGTGTTTCATTTAATCTGTGCAAATGCAATGTGTTTAATTTTATTTAGACTGTACATTCTTTGAAGTAAGAAACTGGGCAGTAGGTACATTTGACGTTTAAGAAACTGCAAATTATAAAGCTTCCATTGAGTTTAGTTGAAACTGAGGCTGTCTCCCCTGCTCTGTGGGACTGTGTAATAGCTTAATTTAGTGCTTATAAATGTTAAATTGTCTTTTAAACAATAGCATAACCACACAATGGGCCATAATGTATTGGAATGGGGGATGGGGCAATGCTATTTAAAACCTCGTGTATTCAGTGTACATGTGCCTGCAGGGGAGAGGCTGGAGCCACAATGGACCATGGAGTTCCTTGGGCAGCAATGTGATGTTTCTACTGGATGATCTACATCCCAGGAACCCTTGGATTTCTTTAGGTTACCTTGCTCACAGCCCCATGAATCCTCCTGGAGACTCTGGTCTCTCTCTCTCTCTTTTTTTCTCTTTGCATTTCTTTCTTTTCCTTCCTTCCTTCCTTCCTTCCTTCCTTCCTTCCTTCCTTCCTTCCTTCCTTCCTTCCTTCCTTCCTTCCTTCCTCCCTTCCTTCCTTCCTCCCTTCCTTCCTTCCTTCCTTCCTTCCTTCCTTCCTTCCTTCCTTCCTTCCTTCCTTCCTTCCTTCCTTCCTTCCTTCCTTCCTCAGGCTGAGTTTGAAAGTTTGGGGGTGGGGGGAGAGAGAGAGAGAGAAATCTTCCATCTGCTGGTTCCCTCTACTCACCAAATGTTGTAATGGCTGCAGCCAATCCTGTTCAAAACCCGGTCGGGTGCAGAGTCCCAAGGACTTGGACCATTCTCTACTTCTTTCCAGATCATAAGCAGGAAACTGGATTGGGAGTGGAGCAGCAGGGATGCGTACCATTGCCCATAAGGCTTGGTGCCCCGTAGACGGAGGCCTAGCCAACGATTCCCCTATGCTGGCCCCATCTGGTTTGCTTTGCTTTAATGGCCTTGGTGTTTAGTTCTCAGTCTCAGTTGCAGCCTGTGTTCCAACCCCCAGCCATCCCTGTATTTCCCATCCTGGCCTTTTCTTCATGCCCTAAATACTTCCTTCATGCTCTGAAGCTGTTTCTGAAATTTCATTTTTTTCATTTTTTAGTTAACTAAAAAAGAAGTCTTGGGGAAAGGCTTTTTGCACAATAGTTAAGCTGCTAGTTGGGATGGCTGAACCCCACATGAGAGTAGCCTGAGCCCCTGCCACTCACATGGGAGACCCAGACGTGGCTCCTGGCTCCTGGCTTCAGCCTGGCATAGCCCTAGTCATTGTGGCTATTTGAAGAGTGAACCAGCAGATGAAAGATCTCTGTCTCTCTGTGTGTAACTCTGCCTTTCAATTAAATAAAATAAATCTTTTTTTTTTTTTTAAGGAATGTCATCCATGCAGATTGAGCCCATCCTAATGATGTAATTTCAATTTAATTGCCTCTTTGTTATCCTCAGATGTTTTCTAAGGTACCAGATGTTGTCCTGTGAATTTGGGAAGATGGAATTCAGCTCTTTCAAGGTTTAAATGTCTGACATGAGTTGTTGAAAATTTCATTAACAAATTATCTCAAAAAGTCTTTCAAATGGCAAAAAGTTGGTTAGGAAAGGCAAAATCCTGAAATAGGAATATGGGGTCTGGTGATCTGAGTTGGAACTTGGCTAATTGATTTAGGTAATAGTCATGATAAGTCACTTTTTGGCCAAACATCCCCAGTTTTGGGCTCAGATCTGAAACACCTTCTAGCTAACTCAAGGGTCAGTGATTCTATTTTCACACTGACCTTACTTCTGGCTTAGATTCGATGGGAGAATGTTGTGATTCCTTGTTACGATCCTGCGTTAGCCAGGCAACATATAGACGAGCCAGGCTTACATCCAAGAGATCGTGATTTTAATTTGAGCTTTCTTTTCTTTTCCTCTCCGTGCAGCTGAGGAAAAAAAAAAAAGAATATAAAAAATCCTTCTCTTGGCATCTTAGGGCAGGATATGAGTCCGCCACAGTCCCTCACTTCCTCGTCTGTACACCCAGGAAGGACACCGTCCTCCCAAGTGGCGTTGTCACTGCTGCCTGCAGGAAGCGTGTGCTCCCCGTGCTGACATGCTCCTCTGCAGCCCAGATGTGGCCACCATCTCCACACCTGCAGATGCCTGCCCGATTCACGTGGAGGATGCCGTGGCTGGAGGCCATCAGAGTGCACTGAGTTCTGTATCCTTGTTCCACAGGCTGTGACGGAGTCCGTCTGTTTCATGTCAGTTCAGGAGTGTGTGTTGTTCTCAGAGGGCTATTATCAAAGGACAGTTTTTGCTTACCACCTGTGTCTGATAGCTTCAAGCGACTGTCAGAAAAATGTGCTCTTCTTTCTGTCTTAATGGGACAAATAGTGAAAGTTAGAGATTTAAGTTGGTCCCAGCATTGTACTTTAAGAGTCATATACATTTTAATTATTATTTTATTTATTTATTTTGGAAAGGTACATATATTGAGAGAAGGAGACAGAGAGAAAAATTTTGTATACTGGTTCACTCCCCAAGTAACCACAAAGGCCAGAGCTGAGTTGATCTGAAGCCTGGAGCCAGGAGCTTTGTCCTGGTCTCCCATGGAGAAGCAGGATCCCAAGGCCTTGGGCCATCCTCCGTTGCCTTCTTAGGCCACAAGCAAGGAGCTGGATGGGAAGTAGAGCAGCCAGGACATGAACCAGTGCCCATCAGAGATCCTGGCGCTGGTGAGGAGAGGATCAGCAATTGAGCCAACACATTGGGTCCAAGATCCATAGATTCTGTGACTTGGGTCTTATGTTTATTTTTTCTAGTCTAGAGAAATACCCACATGATGCAGGTTCTGCGAGGGTCGAGTAAGATAAATACGTGTGCACATGGTGCGTTTGTGTGTGTGTGTTGGACAGTAGGACAGCAGCTCTCCTTCCACATATTTTGTTCTAGTTAAGTAGAGCACTCATGTTTTATGTATGCATTTGTAGCCTAAGATGACTTACCATAAATATAGGGTTACAGATCCCCTTCTCACATGCAGATTTCACTTCTTTTGGGTATATTCCTAGGAGTGGGATAGCTGGGTCATAAGGCAGGTTTATTTGCGATTTTCCAAGCACTCTCCATACTGATTTACACACACACACACACACACACACACACACACACACACACACACACACACACACACACACAAATTAGAATAGATAGACAGAGAACAACAAGGAAAGCTTAGAACCAGACAGGAAATGGTCAGCATGGACTCACGTATACTTTACTAGGTAGGACACAAAGATTAGTTACTCCTCACTAAGGTATTGAAGATTTCTCTGCACACCCCTCCTAAAACTGTCCTACACCTCAGTTGTTGACATATGTCTTGTTAGAGTTATAACCCAGTTTAGACTATCCAAAATCTGCCAAGTTCAGCAAAGTTATGCTTCAACAATATAAACTGCTAAATACTAAAATGAAAATAGACATGAGACAGCTGAATAGTACCCTATGCCATTTTAAGGTGTATAGAAGCCAGTTGCATATAAACTAAAATTGAAATGTCAATGAAGTAGTCACAGGATGTGGTTAAGAACTTGCATTTTTTTTTAACATAATGGTTACTCAATACCATGTCAATTAATTCCATAATGTTGTAAATTTTCGTTGATGTTATGTTGTGGATTTAAATTGATCAGGATGATATTCTGCCAGCTCTGCTTCAGACCAGAGATGTTCTCCCCAAGAAACTGTTGAATTTATCTGGACATTAAGATGCTGGACTCTATGCTTGGTATATGCTTGCAATGAAAGAATTTTGACTGAATTTGAAATGTAATACAGCAACAAGGTGGAGAAATTCGCCATGGGGGGAGGGGTTGGGGGAATCCCAGAGCCTATGAAACTGTGTCACATAATGCAATGCAATTAATAAAAAATATATATATATTTGAAAAAAAGATGACTTACCATAAGGCTTGCATGGCTCAGTTGATTCAAGGTAAAATATTATCCAGCAAAACCATTAAAACAAGCTGACCAGAGAATTTCGTGGCAGAGATGGAGTCCCAAATTCTATCTGGCTTACCCACTGTAGTCATTCTATAAGGGCATTTTTGGCAGTAGTACTTGACCTGGACCCGTTCCCATAAGCAGACCCATTTAATATCACCATGCTGCTGCTAGTCACTTCTTTTGAAGCTGTGTCCATTCAGATGTTTTTAGTCACAAGGAATGGAAACTCAGCATCCACACTGTTCAGCTAAAGAGGGAATGTATTTCAATGTAAGTGAAAAATTTGAGGGCTAGTCATGTCTGTAAGCAAAGTTAAAACCTGGGGGTATGCTAGATACTAGTGGAACATTCCGTCTTGCTCTGAGGGATCTATTCTTGGAAAAATGACGGTCAGCATTGCCAAAGTTGTTTCCTGTGCCTCCCGCATGGACAAGAAGAGCTTTTGTCTTTTTGTCCTCATGCATTACATGCGAAGGGAGATTTTGGTGTAACTTGATTGGCATGGCCATGACTGGCTGGCATGTGGAGTACTGTGGTCAGTCTAACCACATACCAGGCACTGGGACAAAGTATTCTGATCGGCAAGCCTGACATGATGCTGTGCATGACAGACGGGTGGTATCCAAAAGGAAGAATTGCTTAGCACATACATAACATACATCCGGTACGGACACCTTGCATTTCATGTCATTGGTGGTTAGGTGTCTGTTCCTTTAGCTTACAGAGCATGAGAAAGTGGGGTAACACTGTGCTATATTCCGTTGGGAATTCTGTGCTGGCCTGATGGATGTCATCTGTCAGGTGGCATGGACATTCTCTAGATAATGAAGTAGCGACAGCATGGTCAGTGATGGCCAAGATTGATTTCCTTGTGACAACTTTTGGGTTAAAGTCTTAAATGATGATAATGACCATTTTGTCTTTCTGGCAGGGTTGGATGACTGCCTGCAGCCATACGTCCACAAGTTTGAACGGGAGAAGATAGATGGAGAACAGCTGCTGCGGATCTCCCACCAGGATCTCGAGGAGCTGGGGGTCACGCGGATTGGACACCAGGAGCTGGTGCTGGAGGCCGTCGACCTACTGTGTGCACTGGTGAGTTCAGGAGAAGGTGCTGAGGTCTGGAGTGGGTGCTTGAGAGCCTTAGTCTACGACTTCATGGTTGGGGATGTGGTTGAGGAGGGGTCATGATTCAGTTATTTGGAAGGTAGAACTATGCAGGGAGATGGAGGGAGATGGTGGGAGAGACAGAGAGGAGGAGAGAAAGGGAGAGAAAGAGACTGATTGCTTTTCCATCTGTTGGTTCACTCCCCAAATGGTCTTGATGGTCATGGCTGGGCTCAACAGTGCCAGGAATCTAAAACTTCTTATAGGTGTCCCACATGGATGACAGGGCCCAAGCACTGGGACCATCTTTTGCTGCTTTCCCAGGGAACTGGATCAGTAGTGGACTAGCTGGGGCTTCAAGCTATGCTCATATGGGATACTGTTGTCTCAAGCTGTGACTATACCCTCTGTGTCATAGCGCTGGCTTGATAGAGTTTCAGTGAGCCATTGATATGAAGTGTAAATTGAAGATCATATGAAAAGTGAAGAAAATAAATGACTTCCTAGCTTAAGGGTTGGCAGATTGCAGCCTGTGTGTTAAATTGGGCTCCCTGTTAATTTTTTGCAAATGAAGTTTTATCAGAACACAATCATGCCCATTTTGTGCTGGCTTGTGGTTTCTTCTGAGCTACAGTGGCAGAGTGGTGGTAGTGGGGACCCATGGACCTGAACTCGCTCCAGTTTTGCTACCAGAAAGTGCCTGTAGTATTCCTATTTTTAAAATCTTTTGTAAAGAATAGAAAGATGGAGATAATCTGAATGAAAACATCATCTAATTGAAACAAGTTTGCTGTTTTTGTTCCTATAAAACACATTTTAAGGCTCACAGGTGTTTGCCTCACAAATGTTGCAGCTTGAGATGGTCACCCTATGAAAAGGTGGCTTCGAGGGCAAGATGGCAGGACTTGGTCTTTAACCTGAGTGAGGGAGATCCTTCCAGGTCCTGCTACTTGCATCACACCTGTGGTTGCCTGGGTAGTTCTTTGAGGAGTGGGCACTTTGCTTACCCACTGCTTGGCATGGATGGGATCGAAGGGGCCCGTGAGGGTGCCCTGCTATGGTGCAGTTTACTGAAGTTTCCGGGCTTGGACAAAGTCAGCAGCATTCAAGCTGGGTTAGTAATGCTGTGAACCCGAGCCAGGGGGCTATACAATGACATCACTAGGAATGGTGGGAAAGAATGTGCCCCTGTTACATTGCCATGGCTGCGCTGCATTCCGTTGATTATATAACACTTGCTGCACTGAGCGAGTTCTTCTTAAAATGGACAGAGCCCTGTCTTGGGCGCTGAGATGTTCTGTTCTTGTTTAGGAAAGTACTAGGGGAATTATTGGTGGTTGATAAATGAGCTGCCACGGGGGAGCCACTGTGGCCGAGTGGTTTGAGCGCCAGGCCAGGAGGCGGGGCTCTCGCATGCCATCCCGTCTCTAACAGCCTGACCTCTGGGGACGTGATGGTGTCTGCCTTCCCCATTTGTCCGGTAATGCTCACTCCAGTGTGGCCGGCTACGTACTGTCAATGTTTTGTCTCCCTGGAAGATGTCTAGGCATCCTGTTTGTTATTAAAACCGTCTGTTTTTCAGACAAACATGTGGAATTTACTGTCGGGATAATGTTTAGGAACATGGCTTTCTGTTTTTTCCTGCTTCACGTTCAGCCAATCCGAGCTGTCCTCTTTAACTTTGTGGTAATACTTGGAGGACAGATAAATTGCTCTGTAGTCTGAAGCTTGAGGGGCGAGGAGGCCCGTATTGTCCACTCTGGGACAGGAGCCAGTGGAGCTGCCTCGGGGCTTTCTCTGCCTGGTTTTCTTCCCTGTCCCTGAAAATACTAGGTGAAAGTGAAGCTGGACAGTGGCCAGAGCCCCAGGCTGTGTTTTATCCCCCATAACTCCCTTGCACTTGCCTCTGTAGACCACACTTTGACTTCAGACCCATTCTGGATTAACCCTGTGCCTTGCAGTGCCCCAAAGGGCTTGGAAATGAATGTGCCCTGTCTGGCTGGAGAAAACTTGTAGTGGGGTTCTGTGAAAATATACCTTCGTGTTGCTATAATCTCCTTTTAATCCTCATTGTAATGTATGTACAGTTCACCTCCAGCGTAGTTGTTTTTTTTTTTTTTTTTTTTTTTTTTGATATCTAAATGTTGGAAACTTTTCTGTTTTGAGCAATTCATCTCTCTGGAAGTTAATGTGTAATGACAGTCGACCTTAGTGTTATAATAGAGGTTTTTACGTAAAGTCAGTTTAATGGGTGCTGACTTAATGATAGGAAATGAACAGAACTAGAAAACAAGAAGGAGGTAGAAAAAAAAAGCCACTGGAACATTTAAGAGCAAAGAGAAGGGCAAATAGGCTGGACAGAGACCTAAAATAGATGGTTTCTCAGCCTTTTGGCTAAGACAATGTAGGGACCTAAACTAGAAGCCCACGCTGACACGCAGTGGTAGTCAGCGGTTGTGGTTAGGAGGGAAGCCACCACGTGTGACCAGTGATTGGTCTTGGCCAGCAGGAATGGCTTAGTAGAGTGACCTGTATTGTCAGAGGAGGCCAGGGCCAGGAGCCAAGATTGAATTCAGAATCTGAACGCAAATTTTCTTTCTTCTTGCTTTTCCACGTCTCCTTCCCTCTCCTTCGCTCTTGTTCTCATGTCCTGGGCAGGGTCACTGCGCTGCAGGGTCCTGCCACGCTTTGCAGTGGGATAACTGTTAGCCACGGGTGAGTATAAATGAAAACGAACTAGAATGAGATGAAATTCAGTTCTTCCAGTTGTGTTGGCTGCATTTCAAGAGCTCAGTAGCTGCACGTGGTTAGTGGCCACCATATTGGCCAGCGTAGACAAAACCCATTTTCATCTCTGCACAAAGTTCTGCAAGGCAGCTCTGACTGAGAGGGTGGGTGGAGGAGCAGCCAGCTGCGTTCTTTGCCAGGTCAGCGGGGCCCTGGTTTCCTGCCGACCCAGACGGGGACAGCTATGTTTTCATGCTTGAAGTAGGCTGAGAAGTGAACAAAATTGGAATGAGTGTGTGAAGCGATGATGCCTAATTGCCCTGCAGTGCACACTTGTCCCAAATGCTTGTGTACAATGGTATTCCCCTGAAATGATAAATGACTCTTGACTCATGACCAGTGGGATTGTGCCCTGAGTTGATCATGCTTAGTAACTTACCAAATGCCTGTAAGAACGCTCTGAAGCATTATTCTTGTTATCCATTGTTAACCCAAGTCAGTAGGACGGCTTTGATTTGTGTTTGTGGCATCCCTTCATTGCACACGAGGTCGCCACAGAGCTGGCAGGGACAGAGACGAAGGGACAGCTTGTCCACAGCTCTGTCGCGTACAGCAGTGAAAGCCCCCGAAAGGAACATGGCTGGCCTCGTTCCCTTCCTCCTTGCTGGCGTGGGATTTCTCTAAGCAGCCATGAGATGATCGATGGCCCCTGGGTGACTCGCATCACTTGTCGCATTGCCAGCGTCTTCTTGAAATGTTACTTAGAACACTTACTGAAGGAGACAAGATTTAGGAGAAAGACTGGTCCAAGTTCTCACGTCTGGGCTGAGAAATTCCTTGTTTTCTGGGTTTCGCTGCGGGACGCTGAAGTCAATAATTCTTTCCTGATTGCATTTCCACACTTGTGAGTCTTTGGGGCTTTGTTTTCTCCTTGCTGTGGACTGGGGGCAGGGAGGAGGCGTTTCCCTGTTCTTTTTCTGAAAGATCGTACTCTCTTTCTCCCGACCGTATCTGTTTTGGGAAAATAAAAATGAGTGAGCGCCAAGTGAATGGAGCGTGAGGAGAGCCGGTTATCAGAAACTGCCCACCCTCTTCGGTTTTGTATCGAAGTGGTGGATGTGCAGAGGAGGGAGGTTTTAAGTTTCTCCCAGCAATAAAGTCACGTGTAGTGCGTGTTGACTTAGATGTGGACGTGTGTGTGCAACAAACAAGTTCTGAGTAACTCACGGTGACCGGGCAGGTTGCCGTTCCTGCTCCTGGGGAAACGCTCTCAGAGGTTCAGGTCTCTGCAGGAAGGAACACTTCAGTTGAGTCACAGCCCTGAGTCCTTCCGAGCAAGCTGTGTCGTGCAGGCTGTCACCCAGTCCATCGTGGGTCTCTGGGTTGAACAAGCCTGTGATGACAGCTCCTCTTTCATCCTTGCATTTGCTGTTGAAGGACAATGTCGCATTTTAGTCGGCAGGAATGACAGCAAGGAAACAAAAGGAATGGAGATCTCAAGGTTTAGATGCACCACGAGTCATGTTTTACAATATGCAGTTTTAAAAAAGTTATACAAGACAAAATTCAGTTAATTTGTGCTTAACTCATATGGGATTTTCTAGCTATGTTTTCTTCCAGAAATACTTATTTATTTGAAAGAGAAGTGATAGAGAAAGAGAGAGCTATTCCATCTGCTGGTTCCCTCCACAGATAGTCGCAGTTGCCAGGGCTGGGCCAACACCAGGAGCCTGGAGTTCTGTCTGTATTTCCCGTGTGCGTGTCAGGGGGCCACACGTTGACACGTTGGGTCATCTTCCAACGCCTTTTTAGGCACACTAAGCAGGGAGCTGAAGGTGGAGGAGCACACCCAGGAGTTGAACCAGCGCTCTGATATGGGAAGCCAGCATTGCAGGCGACAGCTTAGCTCACCATGCCCCAACACTGGTTCCTGGCCTGCCTAAATTTTCTAAGGTTATTTTTCGTTTTATTAGGAAGTGGCATGAATATAAAATTTGAGTAAAGTCTATTTAAAGTTAGAATGGTTTTCATCAAAGTCAAAGCCTTTCATTGTTACTGATTTACTAGAGTTCATTTTCCAAAAAGCAAGTTCTTGCAAAACCTCCAGGTGTCTTTATGCTTTAGAGATCTTGGTTTTGGAACGTGGCTTGTCCCTCTTTGGTGCTGGGACCGCAGATGACTGGAGCCAACTAGAAGGAGCCAGCTGTTGAAAGAGAATGTGGCAGGTCAGGAGAGCGGTTGTGGGGTTTAGCAGCTTGTCCGTTTGTGCTAGCTCAAGGATCACCAGCTGCTTTTCTGATTCTTGCCTGATCACCATCACTGTCTTATTCTTTGAGCTTTTCCTGGGCAAGGTGTGTGTGTGGCGAGAACACGGCCTCTGGAGCCAAAGCTCCAGTGCTTTTATCGACATCCCATCCCTATTGCTGCCTGGCTGTGTGACCCTGGAGAATTTATTCACTGGTTCTGTGCCTCAGGGTCCTCATGTGTAACAGCGAGGTAGTAACCTTGCCATTTAAGGTCTGGTAGGAGATCGTGCATGTCAAATGTTTGGCCTACTTCCTGGCATACAGTAAGTAGCAATTACATTTCCCCCCCAGTTTTTAGGTGAGACTATGTTCTTGCTTTAGAATGCTATTGAGACAGTGTACTGTACCCCTAGAAGTAGCTTTATTTTATTTTATTTCTCTTGCTAAAATGATGAAGCATCAACTTAGGCTATGTACAGTTGAATATAAATATTCAAACCATACTTGCAGGGCCCAGCACGATAGTGTAGTGGTTAAGGTCCTCGCCTAGAACAAGCTGGGATTCCATATGGGCGCTGGTTCTAATCCTGGCGGCCCCGCTTTCTATCCAGCTTCCTGCCTGTGGCCGGGGAAAGCAGTCAAGGACAGCCCAGGATTTTGGGACCCTGCACCCGCGTGGGAGACCCGGTGGAGGCTCCTGGCTTCAGATTGGCTCAGCTCCGGCCGTTGTGGCCACTTGGGGAGTGAACCATCAGACGGAGGATCTTCCTCTCTGTATATCTGCCTTTCCAATAAAAAATAAATCTTTAAAAAAATATATCTACAAAGTCATCTCAGAGTTAAGTGTTGTTTCCTGAGAATTGATCTTTATTTATTTGGCAAAATAACAAAGAGAATGGGAGAGAGAGATTTTTTTCTGTATGTTGCTTCATTCCTTAAATACCCACAAAAGACTGGCTGGGCAAAATCTGGGATCTGGAACTCCATCAAGTTTCCCCAAGTATTTGGGCTTTGGTCTGCTGCCTGCTAAGATGCACATGAGCAGCAAGGTGGAGGAAGTGTTGACGGGACTGCATGCCAGGCACCGTGATACAGACTTGAGCACATGGCACTGCAGCACCCACCTCAGGACTGGTGGTTCTGTGTTTGGAAAGTATCCAAGTGTGTTGAATGCCATCTAGACGGCACACGTGTTAGGAGCCCACTCAGGAGAGGGCAGTCACTTTCCAGGTGTGCCAACATCGCATCAGCACTGCTGTTTCTTGTGCGTCTTACCTGGATGCTGGTCAGCCATGGACGGTGGTGTCACCTGTTGCTCTGCAGATGGCCCTTGCACCCTGGGGAGCAAGGAGGCAGTAAACATGGGGATCCACAGGGGGCAGCAGTGAGTGCCATGCTGAGGGGACAGACACACTTCTGCCCCTGCGAGGACTGGTGGCAATAGCGGAGACATTTTTGGTTGTCACAGCTGGGGAGCGGAAAGCCAGTGACGTCTAAGAGGCCAGGAGTGCTGCTCACATCCTGCGTAGCACAGGAGTCCCTTCTCACTGTGGAGAATCATCAGTTAGGGGTCTGCCTGAGGAAGCCTGGTCCGGACAGTCAGGCCGTGGAGCTTTGCAGTGGAGGGAGCGTTCGGGCCACGACCTGAGTGATAAGAATGAGCTGCTTTGTTGGGATTTGTGGAGAGAAGAGGCTGCCGCAGGAGCAGGAATGCTGAAGGAAGAGGCAGCAGGGGGTGTCTGAGCGGGGCGGGGATAGACTGTAGGGATCCTGGACGTTATTTCGTGGGTTTGGCTGTTGACGATTCTCTAATTTTCCACCTGACTTCTGTTCCCTTTTCTGCAGAATTATGGCCTTGAAACCGATAACATGAAGAACTTGGTTCTGAAGCTGCGAGCGTGTTCCCACAACCTGCAGAACTGCGTCAGTAGCCGGAGGAAAAGCCCAGCCTACGACGGGAACACATCCCGCAAACCTCCCAATGAGTTCCTGACCTCGGTGGTGGAGCTCATCGGGGCTGCGAAGGCCCTGCTGGCTTGGCTGGACCGGTGAGTGGCAGGGCCGGAGGGCCGTGGCGCATGGAAGCCTGCTCTTGTGTCTCGGGGAAGCACCCCGTCCTGCCTGGTGTGTTCCTTTCGCGGGAACTCAGTAGAGTCGGTGGGAGGTTTCAGGATTCCTTGAGCGACTTGAAGGGGATGGCAGGAGTGGAGTCCTCGCAGAGTGGAGCTTCCGCTGCGAATCGAATCGTGTTCTGCTGGGGTTAGTATCAGCGATCTTCTAGGGGGAGTGGAGGCTGTTGGCTTTAGATGCGATGTTAATTGTCACGGCTCGGGCTCGTGGCTTTGTATTTTATGTTTTGATGAACACATAGTATCTGTATACATCCAGGAGGCTCAGAGTGGTGATGTGGGTATCTGCCGCGGGATGATCAACTTTGTCTCTAGCATATACCTCACCTTTATGTCCTTATGGCAAGTGAATTCAAGAACCTTCTATTTTGAGTGTAGAATGCATTCTTGTTCATTATATACTGTGGCTTCCCCTCCCACCCTTTTTAAAATTTGTTTTTTGGAGCTTTTTCCTGCCTTTATGCACACTCGTGTTTCACGGGTGATGTCACTGCTTGGGTACATGTGCTGGCTAACCACAGAAGAGGATTCTGGGGTATTCCCGCCATGCAGGTCTTTCTTTAAAGGCACTTTTCCTTCTTCCCTAGGGCTCCGTTTACAGGCATCACCGACTTCTCAGTCACAAAGAACAGAATCATCCAGCTTTGCCTGGACCTGACCACTACAGTCCAGAAGGTCAGTGGACCCCATCCCTGGGCTGGCCCTTCTGTTTCTTTGTTTCCGTTTCCTGTCTCCCCTTCAGAGGGCTTCCGTGTAGGTAGCCTGCCTTGTGTCTGTCGCAGCTGGGGAGAGGTGAAGGAACCCTTTCAGTTGGATGCCTCCCGTAACTGGTTTCCCTGAAAACCGACCTGTGACCTTTGAACCAAAGATGGCTGTCTTGTTTGACAATGCTCACACTCATGGGCTTGTACGTCCTCTAACATGTTCGAGCACTCAGCTTTTTGAAATAGCAATTCTGGAGTAGCTTTTTTTCTCAGCACTTTTCTGTATCTGCTGCTTCATTTTTTTCATGTCTCACTTGGTTCTAAGATCCGGGGATTCTGTGTTTGTTTCCGCCGCTGAGATGACATGAGAAGGCAGAGCATGCATTCCTGCAGCCTGAACTGTGCAGTAGCAGACACGCAGCACTGGAAGGCTTGGTGCTGTTCGTCTCTGCACCACGGAGAGTGCAGGTGCTGTGGTACTGGAGGGCCAGTCGCTGGCAGGACTCAAGGTGCATGTTCAAGGTCACGACCTTAGGGAGGAGCGCCTGTGAGTGATGTGTAAGATAATGTTGTCAAGGAGCTTGGTACCCACTGTGGTATGTCAGGCTGTGGAGGGAGGAGGCTTGGCACTTGGGGTGGAAGACAACATCCTGACACCTGCCAAGAATATTTGTTATCTTCCCTCCACCTGTAATAGCCTATTTTGATTTTTAACCAAGTTTACTTGGAGTCAATTCAGTGAAAGTATGAGTTAAGCACATTGTACAGAGCAAATAGTAGACTTTTGAAAAGATTTATTTGTTTGAAAGAGATAGAGATGGCGTTCATCTAGGGAGATGGCGAGCACACACACACACACACACACACACACACACACACACACACGAGTGTGTAAATTATAGAAGTCCTGAGGGGGGAGGGACGTGGAATGACTGGGAACGGCATCCCTGCCTGGAGAAGGAGCTGGCTGAGGCGCAGTTGAGCCTGTGAGCGTGGTGTCAGTGAGACCGTGGCACCTGAACAAGTCCCCCATTGTCACTGTCTGCTTGTTGCACGGCGTCTGGGGGTGCCTCTCCCATGGTCCTCGTTGTGTTGATTATTAGGAGCTGATGGGACACACAGCCTGCCAGGGGCCTGACAGTGCCTGGCCCAGGGCGAATGATGATTTTAAAATGTGCACTGAAATGACTGAGAACCTGCTTGTGATGAACAAGTTGATGAGAACTTCTCATTATGGGGAGAAGTTTAGCCCACACTCAGGAGACACAAGAAACGGAAATGGTGTGTATGAATTTTGTTTGTTTGTGGTGCACATGGGAGGAGTTTAGGGGGCAAGAGTGTGTTCTCTCAAAGAGACAGCCATAGGTTCCAGTCCCACCTGTACTGGGAACTGGCATTGGGATGGGTCCCATAGATTTATGGCTGCAAATGGCTTATCTGTAAATGGAAGACACCAATACAGAGTTTCCAGAATGGCTTCTAAACTTGCTGTTCTGTAAGAAGGAAGATGCGGATCAAGACAAGCTCACCAAAAGCAATTAAAATAGATCTATGTATGAGTCTGTATTTGTAATGTATCTATGCCTACACATTGCTATAGAAAACAAAAATTGGGAAGAAAATTAATATTACCATAGTACAGTAAAAGGTAGGAGGACTGTAGGAACTGAACCCTTCATCCTGGAAAAAGGAGAATAAATGTTCTTTACTTAGAGAGATCTCACATATAGCCATATTTATGCATGCAAATAGGATATAGATGGGTAATGTATGCTAAAATAATTCCTTCCTCAGAAGATTGTTGTGAGCTAGGCAGGGTTGGGTCTGGTTAGTGCTGCTTGGGAAGTAAGACATAGATTGTATTAATGTCTATTTAAAGAAGTATTAGACTAGGGTAGGAAATTTAAAAATCTTGTCCAGTTTTCTGAAACCAAAATTAATATATTGGAGAGGAGAACCAAATATGTTACTCTTACTTTTTGGATGTCCAAGGTAGAGTTTGTTTTTTAAAGGCTTATTTATTTGATAGGCAGAGAGGCAAAGAGATAGAAAGATAGATTGATTGATGGGTATTTCGACAGACAGATCCCTTCAGTCTCCTGGTTGATCCTAACGTGGCCTTGACAGCCAGGACGGGGCTAAGCTGATGCCAGAAGTCTCTCTTTTTTATTTTCTTTGTTTATTTGGAGAAAGAGAGATAGAGAGATTGATATTTCCATCTGCTGGTTGACTCCCCAAGTGGCCACAGTGGCCAAAGGCCTGGACCAGGGTAAAGCTAAGAGCTTCATCCAGGTCTGCAAGATGTGTGTGGGGGTTCAGATACATGGGCCATCTTCACTGACTTCCCAGGCTAAAACCAGGGCTCTTGAACTCCATCGGGGCCCTTTGCCTTCCCAGGAGCATTACCAGGGAGCCAGATTGAAAGTCGAGCAGCTGGAACTTGAACTGGCAGAGATGAAATAGTGGTATTTCAGTGACAGTTTAGCTCATTGCACTAGAATGCTGCCCCCAGTGGTAGCGGTTTAAGGAGTAAGGTTGACAATATATGTGTGTACATGGGAATGTCATGGCCTGTACTTCAGGTGAAGAGCTCAGGGTGCCTGGGCCTTTCCCCCTGCCTTCCGGCCTCTTGGGAAGGTTCGTTGTCTCTTGGGGAAGAGACCTCTCTTTTGTCCCTCGTTCCTTATAATGGGGACCTGTGGGAAGTGGTGAGTGAAGGCTGTTGATGATTTTCTTCCCAGTGCAGAAGCCTGGCGTCTTTCTCCAGCCTTTAGTCTTTGTGTCTCTGCCTGTGAGGAGGCTTTGCTCATTTCCTTTGCTCCTCTCTCCTGCATGTTGCCACATTTCCTCCGTTCTTGCCAAATTCTCTGCATCTCTGCGTTCCTGCTTTCTGTTGTAATGTATAAATCAGAAGGAGAAAGAGGGCTGCTTCCCCAGCCCCCAGCACACATTTGGAAACTGCACTCCTGCGAGAATGCATGAGCCGGGCAGTCCTACACCAAGCATAGGGAGCCACCTTCCCGTCTGGTTTTCAGGCTCATTTCTGATGAAGGAAATCAAGGAGGGAAGGGAACGTGAATGATGTATTTAATCTGTTCTGTTGTGAAAAATTGGAGTAGCCATGCAGAGATGGCAGCAGCAGGCACTGAGTTGCAGTGTGGGAAGAAATAGGGGGATCCGTCGTGTTTGAGCCCCCCAGAGAGCTGAATGGAGAGATGGAAACATGAGGAAATGACTGTTCCCGAGTACCCATCATTCTCGGAGGCGCAGGAAGGAGATTGAGATGCAGGGGTCAGGTGCAAGGTCCCAGGCTAGGTCTCTGCCCATGAGGCCAGGCTGTTCCTGCTGGTCCAGGTGACTGAGGACTCGAACAGCAGAGCCTTCTGTCCTGTCTGACTCATGAGGGCTCACGTGGTTCCAGCACCTCTTTCTGTTCTCTTCATGCCAAGCAGTGTGAAGTCACGCCCGCAGCTGCTTCCTCTTAGTGGAAATGGGTGTGGGAACTTTCCCCACATTCGCGGTTGGTGGGGAAGGTAAGAAACAAGCCCTTTCACACTTGGACTTGAACGGTGAGGGAGGCGGGAGAGCTGAATCCCGTAGCAGAAAACCGTCTTCATGGTGGCTTCTTGTACCCATCAAAGAAGAGCAGATTTTAGGACCCCTGTGGCCACACCTGGAACGTGACTCACTCTTGGGCCCTGGTGCTCTGAGGGGCACTTCTGCCACTGCCTCCTCAAGGAAAAGCGCTGAAGTTGTTTCGGGCTTTGTGAGGAAGTATCACAGAGATGTTCAGTGATGTTTCTAGCACAAGGCTGCATCAATGGGTGTCTCTAAAGCCACTAATTATTAGTAACTAGTGGATAGTATTAGCAAGGGACGAGCCATCGTAGCAGTCGATAGTTCATTGTCATGTACAAGTGGAAGGCAGAAAAGCATCTTAGAGATGTAATTATTCATACTTTGCAGAAGTTGCTCCTATAACTTGGATTTCTGTTGCATTCACACATGTAAAATTACATTTCTGAATTTCTTTTTTTATAGTGTCTTCTTTTCCTGGAAGTCAGTATCGTTTTGGGAAGCAGTAGAGCAGCTATTACAGTTGGGCATATTTTTACTGGATTGAGAAAATTAAAACTATTTCAAAGAAGACAGTGAAAGTGTGATTATTAAATCACATGTGGTAGAAATCAGTCGCCATCCCCATGCCAATAATAGCTGTACGATGACAGTTTGATTTAAAAGAAAATCTTTGCCTGGCACTTCGAACTAAATTGATTAATGTTTTTCACGTGCATGAAGTATCAGCATTTTCCTGAAGCTTGGCCCAGTTTGGGGTTGTGTTTAGGGTTGTCCCAACTAGGGATTATCCTGAATGGCGCTAGGTAAGCAGCAGAGAATCCAGTTCGTCTAGCTGTTGTTCATCATATACCCTGTTAGGTCTGTTGAAATCTTTTGCTATAGATAGTTCTGGAAGGTTAACTGTGAAAGTTTCGCATTGGCATTTTCACCTTGGTGGCTTTTCCCTGGACAATGGTGAGTCCTGTAATCAACTAGCCCTGCTCATACAGTGTTCCAAGTCTTTTGTTCTTAAGCTGAGTAAATAATGCCTCGCATTCCAGCTCTTTTTTTAAATGTCATCAATAGCATACCTCAAGACCACTTTCTGGCAGTGTGTTAATGAATGTTTTGTTAAGCCTTTTCATCTATCCGGGACTAAAATATCTGATTTAATCTCAGCGGTGTTTAAAATAAACTTCTGTGGCTGAGTTTACTCAAACCCTTATTTGAAAGCTGTTCTCATAGGCAGGCCCAGAGCTGACCATTGCTGGCTGAGCCTAAGGTCACTTTGGGGACCATGGTCAGGGTTTTCAGATTCAGAGTTGAACCAGTTATGCTCGAGACCTTGTGCAGCGTGGGCGGACTTTATTCTTGGTTTATAGGCTTTCAAATGAAGTAATTGGTCAAATGGATTCATTGGTTGGTGAGCTCGTTGCATCAGGGGAGTGAGCAGGGTCTTAGGACAAGACAGGCATCACCCATCCTCGCCTTGCTCTCTCCCTGCTGCCTAGATTCAGGGATTGGGGTGGGGTACGAGTTACGGGCCTTGTGAGTCCCAAGAAGCATCTAGACGTCAAGCCATCATTGTCATAGCTTTTAGCTTTTACACTTAGTTGTGCTTTTCTTCTTCCCCTTCTTTAGGATTGCCTTGTAGCAGAAATGGAGGATAAAGTTTTAAATGTGGTAAGCATTTCTTCTGGAAGTTATTGTCAAGTTCGTCTTGAAGCTTAACGAGAATCACATTAACTAAAGTAAATGTAGAGTGGCTGTTTCCTTTGGAATAGACCTTGAAATGTTGCCTTCAGGGGATGTCAGGCTATTGAGTTTAGGTAGAAAAGGAAGAGGGAGAGTTATGGACCAATATGAAAACTCTTGCTTCAATGAATGGTGTTGGGGACTGGGTTTGCTTTTTTTCTCCCCCTGCTAAACATTTTGTCAAGGTACAATTGTGCCTAAGTTGCTTGCCAGCCAGATAATGTAGGTAAAAGGGGTGTACGCATTTTGCTTTAGGTCCAGTTGGCTAAGAAAGAAAACATCTTGGCAAAAGCTGTAAGTGGAGGTGTATGTCCCCTGGCTGCCGAAAGGGCCCTTGGCTGCCATTCGTGACCATTTCCTGCTTCCGACACAAGCCAGTCTGTGCTCCTTTGATAAGGCCTTCCGCCTCCTGATGTTGAGGAGTTTAGCAATGAAATTGCTATAAATATATTGTCCATAAATAGGAGCACTAAACAGATTTGGGGACTGTAACAAGTGTCACTTCGTAGATTCTCTCCGTTTGAGAGAAAAATCACTCCTGAGAATCTGCTGATTCCTTTGGCTGTTTAATTTGGGAAGGTTACACGCCCCTGATTGAAGGAGTCGGACACCATTTAATAGGAATCCCCATGTTGTCTGCGGGAGTTTTACCCTGTCAGTGTGGCATTTGGTGGGAGTGAGCAGTCACTAGGAAGATAATAAACTTGCAGTGTAAAACTCAAACGACAAAGCTTGTAGGAAGTAACAGGGAGAAAATCCAGGTGACGTTGGTTTTAATGTTGAGGCTTTGATTGAAAACCTTAAGCCGTGATTTGTGATTATGCAAACTTCATCAAAATTAAAAACTCTACTGGATGAACTGTGCTGTTAGTAGAATGTAAAGGCAAGCCACAGACCAGGAGAAAATATTTTCAAAACGCCTGTCAGGTAAAGGATTTGTGTTCAAAATATACAAACTCAGTAGTTAAGAATACAAACAACCCAATTAACAAGTGAACAAAAGGTCTGAACCAACACTACCCCTCAGCAGATGTGCAGCTGCCAAGTAAGTGCAGGAAAAGATGCTCAGCAGCATTTGCAATTAGGAAGTTGCAAATTAAGACAACAAAGGAGATAGTACAACTACACACTTAGTAGAGTGGCTGGAATCCAAGGTACTGGCAACACCAAATGCTCACGGAAGTACAGACCATTGAAACTTGGATCTCTTATAAAGGAAATGCAAGATTGTACAGGCTTTCTCACTATTCCATCTGGTAGTGGCACTCTGAGGTATTTGTCCAAAAAGGTTGAGAAATTAGGTCCTCAAAAAATCCGCACAGAAATTTGTGGCTTTATAGTTACCGTAAACTGGAAGCAACCCTCTGTCTCTCCATAGATGAGCGGAGAAACCAACTGTGGCACATTCATACCATAGTACAAAAGAGTAAGTTATCAGGCTGTGAAAAGATGTGGACAACACTTAAACGCATGCTGTTAGTCACACCGGAAAGGTGATATGCTGTGTAATTCCAAACGTTTGACAGTGTGGGGAAACCATGGAGCCCGGGAGAGTATCAATGCCTGCTGAGGGCCGTGGTCCAAGACGGAGGTGGTAACTAGGTCAGATCAGAGGTTACGTAGAGTTCAATTCTGTAGGATACTGTTACGATGCACGTGTGGCATTGGGCTGTTGTCAGAACTATAGTGCCCACCACGAAGGGCAAAGCTTAATATTAATGGTAAACTTCACTTAATAATAATTCTAGCAATAGAATTAATAATAGTTGATCAGTTGTAACAAATGTATCCTACTAATGCATGATGTTAATTGCAGGGGAACTGGGTAGTCAATGAACTTTTTGTTCCTTTTTTTTTTTTTTTTTGCCTTAAAACTAAAACTGTTCTACAAAACAAAATCTATTAAAAAATGGTGGAGGGCAAAAGTCTTTTATTTTTTTTTTTTTTGTCTTGTTATTTGGTGCTCAGACAACATGAGTCATCGCCAGTCAGTCACACGAGGGTCTGGTGGTGGATACTTCTCCCGTATGGGTTGGGCGTGAAGTGGATTTCTTTCCGGCCCATTCTCTTCCTGGTCATCGAGGGGTTAGTATAAAGGCTACCCTTTTTAAACAAAGCTGACATAGCGGCACGTTCCCATGATTGCAAACAGAGTTCAAATACCATGTGTTCATGGGGCAGAATTCTCAAGAATCATTGCCAATCAGAGCAGAAGCTTAGAGGTGAAGTGCATTTCTTTAAAAAGCTGCTTGAGATAAAACTTGTTAATGATTGAACTTGTCTTACTATTTGCCTCTCCATTTCTAGGTCAAGGTTTTAAATGGCATCTGTGACAAAACAATCCGTTATACCAGGGATCCTCTTATGAGCCAGTGTGCGTGCCTGGAGGAAGTTCACTTACCAAACATTAAGCCTGGGGAGGGCCTGGTAAGAAGTCTAATAATACTGGTTTTATTTTTAAATAAGTGGGCACCATCATTTACTAAAGAAAATTCTTTCTTACTGTCATTGTAATTCTGAGATGACAAGGTTAAAGTGAGATTTTCCATTATGGACTTTAAAATTTGCTGCCTTGAACTGTACTATTCTCAAAGCATGAAACTTAATACAGTTTAAAAGCCGTGTGCTCATGTCTTGAAGACCTTGATTTAACAGCTCTATTTGGGACTCAGTTATGCGAGGAAATAAACATTTACACAAAGGAGCGATGGTCTCTGGGTTTGCAACATCTACTGTGGAAGTCTGGTTAGTTTGGGGGAACCTCTGAACAAATTGGAAAGAAAATGCTGGCTGTAGTGTTGGGTGGCTGTGAGGAGGCGCGCAGGCAGCCTCTGCTCTTACGTTGGTAAGCAAGAATCAGCTCTGTGTTCATTCGCCCATGTTTTGTGTGACTACAAGTGTGCACACTGGTGCTTGACTTGACAGTCAGTGGTGGACTGTAGCAGTGTACCCAGAGAGACTTCCTGGAAGTGAGCCTACAGTCCAGTGTGGAAATAGGTCTAGGCCCCGAGTGGACAGAAATCTACTTGCTGTTTCAGATAGTACACAAGCCATGGGCTGGGGAGCAGGGGGCCCCGGAAGCTGATAGTGGGTCAGGTGGAAAGCCTTGAGGGCCAGTGTAGCTAGTTGATAAGATCCTCAATAGAGAGTGGTGTAGGCGGCTGGGCAGGGCAGGTTCAGGGCCAGTGGGCTTTCTGAGGAGGATTCTCATTGCTAAGATAGCAACATCAGCTTTGTGTACTTTGCACTCTGTCTTGTAACAGTTTAGTAAAGGGGGTTTGTTTGTGGTCTGTTTGCTTGCACAAGTGTTTCCTCAAGGATACCACATTCTCTGGGCTTGCCTGCCAGGCCTGCTGTTCACCTCCCTGGATCGGTTGGTGTCTGTTACTCCTCCGCAATGGGATGGAGTCACGTGAGCAGCGTGGCTTATTAATGACTTCAGTACATCATCCTCCAATGGCTACTGATGCCAAATTTAACTGGATGGATTATGTCCCTGGACAAAGAGATGGCCGAGAAAGAACAGCCTTTGTTTGAAATGCCTGGCTCATTTCGCCAGAATTGTGGCAGAATTCTGTATGCCATCTACATAGATGTTAGAATCAAGGAGATATCCTGTTGGATTCCTGTCACTGGCATCTCTGTTTAGTTGTCCTTCACTGCCCTTTGCATCTTATTGCACCATGTTTCAGGAGCTTTGGAATGCCTGGTGATTTGCAGGGATGTCTTTACTATTTTACAAGTTCCAGTCTCCCCAGCAGTTCTCTCTCAAGCTGTTGAAATACCTGTTGAAATACAAGTTGACTTATTTGTGGCTCACTCTATAGGGCATGTACATAAAGTCGACCTACGATGGACTGCACGTGATTACTGGAACCACAGAAAATGTAAGTATGTATCTGTTAAAGGCAAAAGCTGTTGTGTGTTTCAGCCACCAGGGTGCGGGATCTCTGTGCTTTAAACGGAGCTTGCTGCTACCTGCACTCAGAGTGCTGGGGGAGCCTGTCTTCGTTGATTTAGCACTGCTTATCACCGGCTGTTGTCAGTTTATTAATTAAGTTGTCCCTTATTGCTCTTTTTCACACACCTAGCCCTGCGTATACCTTCCATAATGAACTAATTTTTCCTTCTGATCACAGAAGGGTTAAGTCATAAACACAAAATCAAGGCTGTCTTTGTTGTTGAGAATCACTCTTCCAAGAACTGGGATTGGTGGCCAGATGTGTAAAGTATAACTTTTTTGGTTTGTTTAATGGGATTTTCATGTGTCTCCAAAGCAGCTATTTTAGCATTTTTGGATGGCAGATTCTTTTTACAGAATTGTATTTCATGATATTTGGCATGATTTTAAATTTAGTTTTGCTTCTTCTCTTCTAATCCTTTGAATAGAAAAACGAGGTCTGTTTCTACTGTAAAAACTTCTGCATGCTATTTGCTTTCTTCAGATAATTCTGCTACATGCAGGATTACTCTTTGCCCCTCAAACATTTTTGTAAAAATTAAGGTAGACGGGGCCTGGCACGAAAACCTAGTGGCTAAAAACCTCACCTTAAGCGCTCTAGGATCCCATCGGGGGCACCACTTCACGTCCCAGCTGCTCCACTTTCCGTCCAGCTCCCTGCTTGTGGCCTGGGAAAGCAGTAGAGGACGGCCCAGGGCCTTGGGACCCTGTTCTCATGTGGGAGACCTGGAAGAAGCTCCTGGCTCCTGGTTTTGGATCAGCTCCTGGTTTTGGATCAGCTCAGCTCTGGCCATTGCGGCTGCTTGGCAAGTGAACCAACAGAAGGAAGACTTTCTCTTTGTCTCTCTTTTTCTCTGTAAATCTGGCTTTCTAATAAAAATAATAAATCTTAAAAAAAATAGAGAAGTGGTTAGAAAAGCTGTGGTACATATACTCCATGGAACTTTACTCAGCTATTACAAAGAATGAAATTAGACCATTTGCAACCAAATTTTGGTCCCAATTAGAGACCATTATGTTCACTGAAATAAGTCAATCCCCAAATGACAAATGTGTGTTTTCTCTGATATGAGGCAACCTCAATGCAAACTATAAGATCAATAACCCTTTCAATACTGGTTTTGCTGCAACCCATGTATTTTTGTTTTTATTTTCATTTCTTCAAAATAGTTTCTTTTCTCTTATTAAGTTTTTCATTGGCTCATAGATCACACAGTAGCATCATTTTCTGCCACATTGGTTATTCATTAGCATTACTTAGCATTAGCATTACTTACTAGGTTACTTAGCTCCAAGGTGCTGTAATTTTTTTTAACTTTATTCCTGTTGTTGATTTTGTTTTGTGGCTTCTCATGTAGAGTCACTGTGTTGTAGAGATTGTCCTATCCAGATGTGAAGTACGGTGCAGTATGTATTGCTGCTTCCAAATCAAAGATGGACTCCTGATGAGACTGTTGGATCTATCTTGACAATAGGATGCTGGACATTGTACCAGCAGTGTCAGGACACACTTAAATAGCAGAATGATGGACTTACGACTGCTTATGAAGGACTATGCTATTGTAATACTATGGGGAAATCAGTTTGGGGGAGGGAATTTGAGGAAGGGGAAATCCCAGCGCCTATGGAATTGCACCATAAAATTAAAAATAAAATAGAGGGGAAAATAAATAAAATATAATAAAAAAATATTAAGCTAGACAAATTTGTAAAATGTAGATCTGATGGAATGCTTTTTTAATAGCCTACATTTGAATGCCATTGAATATGAAGCTGAAAATGTTTGCGTGGTTTCTCTGGGTCTGTGTTTTGATTAGCCACTATTTAATAAGCTAAGGGAGGAGGGAATAAAATTCTTCAAAGCAGAGATATCTGGCTAGCTACTTTTCTAAACTGTTGCAAACACATGTTTAAATTTGAGCCTCAGCTGCTCAGATCAAAGGAAATGGCATGATCTTTGATGAGTGTCATAAGCACATTTTTTTACAGTAAGAAAATGACATTGCTTCGGGCAGCCAAGGAATTATAAATAAATTGTGTGTTTCTGACAAATTAATGAGTAGAAGATGTAGTGTCTTTAAACATTCCCTTTTGTGCTGTAGTGAGAAACGTGGAGAACCACTGGGAATTTTTATATGGTGTTGCGTGGTACGCAGTAACAATAGCATAGGAAGCTATGCTTTCTTTAAAGATTTATTTATTTTTATTGGAAAGCCTGATTTACAGAGAGAAGGAGAGGCAGAGAGGAAGATCTTCCATCTGTTGGTTCACTCCCTAAGTGGGTGCAGTAGCCAGAACTAAGCTGATCTGAAGCCAGGAGCCAGGAGTTTCTTCCAGGTCTCCCACGTGGGTGCAGGGTCCCAATGCCTTTGGGCTGTCCTTGACTGCTTTCCCAGGCCACAAGCAGGAAGGTGGAAGGGAAGTGGAGCAGCTGGGACGTGAAATGGTGCCTATGTGAAATCCCAATGAGTGCGAGGTGAGGTTTTTAGCCACTAGGCTCCCACACCAGGCTGGGAAGCTGTGTGTTTATGCTGGGGATGGAGCTAAGGAAAGGCAAGTCATGTAGCAGCATATGTGGCTTGCCTTTGATCGTTGTGGAAACTTGCTAAGCTGCTGCTCAGCCGTGGTGAGAACATGTTTGCCGACCACCAGTCTGTATGTTGGCTGGATTCAGATGGATGGTAGATGTCTTTTCATTTTTGAAGGGTTAGCGTGAGAGACTAAACAATTCAAATGTCAGATGTCTTTAATGATATATCCTTCTGTATCCCTTCCAATTCTGCGAGCATCATCACCCTGTTCTAGAGCCCCTCCAGAGGACTGTGTGCAGGATAGCTTACCAGAGGTAGTTCCCACTTTATAAAGAAGCAGTGGTGGTGACTCGAAGGGCTGGCTTCCTGTTACCCACATGGGAGAGCTGGATTGAGTGCTGTGCTCTGTTCCCAGTTTTGGCTTTGTTCTAACTGGGAGCCACTGGGGACTTTAGGGAGCAAGCTATCAGATGGAAACTCATCTGTTAACCTGTTTGTCTTTCTGTCTCTCAAATAACCAAATAAAACTAATGTCCTGAAGGTAGAAAAGAAAACATACTGTATTCCGTCGGACGATCTAGGGCTGCATGCCACTCACTGCTTGGGTCATCAGACTGCATTTGCTGAGTATCTGGGATGTGTTAGACACTGTGCATCTGGTAGGTGAGGCTGGGAAACGGGGAAGAGCCCACTTTGCAAGGGCCTCATCTGGGAGAAAATGCCAGCTCTGGGTCAGCTTTCTGGCCATCCGTTCAAGAAACTAACTCAGGGTTAGAATATTCTCATGGAAATCTGGGATGGTGCCTGGCAGTGGCAGGGTGGAAGCTGCAGATGGCATTCCCAAGTGAGTCAGCAGGCTGTGTCCAGGCCCCCAGTCCATTTCTGTGATGGATACCTGCGAGGTCAGGTTTGTCCCCGGGTCAGAGTCTCTGTGTCTCGTGATCCTGTGATTCTCTCGGGGTGGTGTTCCAGATCTTGACTAGAGTCTGTCGCAGCGGCATCGGTACTTCTGTCCTCCACCCCGCAGATCAGGTGGGAATTAGATAACCTCTGAAGAGTGAGCACGTTGTTCTCCAGGTCATGACCCTTCTGCATCATGTTAGCAGTTGCCCAGCTCGTGGTGAAGATGGGCAGGAGCTGCTGTGCCCAGGAGAATGTTGCTACCTGGCTCTCTCTTTACCAGTGTTCTGCCAAGCACAACTCTTAATCACTGGACAGGACATCTGAGAAGTGAATGCATCAGGATTCTTGGGAAGGGAAGTCAGTTCAGGACATTGCTGTTTATTTACTGAGATCGCACATCAGTGCTGTCACTGTGAGCTAGTGGATCAAGCCACTATCTGCCTTGCCAGCCTTCCATGTGGGTGCCTATCCCAGTGAGTCTCTTTTCGGTTCAGCTCCTTGGTAACGCACCTAAGAAACAGCAGAGGATGACTCAAGTGCTTGGGCCCCTTCACCTGCATGGGAAATCAGGAAGAAGCTCCTGGCCCCAGCACAGCTCTTGCAGTCATTTGTGGAGTGAGCCAGTAGATGAATGACTGACCTCCCTCTGTCACTCTATTACTCTGCCTTTCAAATAAATACGGTCTTAAAGAAGAGTTTATGTCTATAAACAGGGACTTTGTGGCTTCAGGGCGATCTTTTGGAAGCAGAGCTTTCCTTAAGTGAGCCTTTTGCTCAGGAGTTGTAACCCTTCTTTATTGATGAGGAATAGACTTGGCAAACTAAGTCTCCAAGTTAAGCATCAGATACCCGGGGCAAAAAGGAACATTGATAAATGTATTCCTATTTAAAGTGATTCAGGAGAGGGGCAGTCAAGACAGGCCATCTGCCTGTGATAGCTTGCTGGTGTTGCCAATTGTAGTAGTTGATTAAATGCCACCTGCAGAGTGCATAATCTGGGAGTGGGAGTGGCCCGGGAGGGAAATAGTGGGCTCCTCCCTCTTGGGTTGCCACCCCCCACGGGAGGGCACAAAAACTAGGACAGGGGCCGGGGTGGCTAGACAGACACCCAACAACATCTGTGAAGGCTGGATAGTTGAGCTGGTTAGATGGAACAAGGTTTGAATACCCATTGACATGGATGAGAACAGAAAGGAAAGTGGAACAGACTGGACTAGTCTGGCACACATACTGGCAAACCAGGGTTGGGGGCGGGCCTGGTGGGGGTTACTGTGGGTCGCTCAGGCTAGGCTGCAGCTCCTACTAGTTTATGTGAAGGCTGAGTAGGCGCGGGGCAGAACCAGGCTGGACTGCAACACCCATTGGTTCCAGAGGAAGACATGGATGGAAACAGAACCAACCCAGCAGCTGCAACCACCAGCTGATTGGGGTAATGGACAGTGCCGGGCCCTGTATTTGCTAGCACATACAAGAATCTGGTCTGAGAACACCTCAGACAAAGTTTCTTTGGGGATCCCCCCCAATCGAGCTTTCAGACTCAGAACGCTAACCATCAAATGACAGGACAGAACAGGTCAATCAACCATCTCAGCTATATGTTGGCAGCGAAATACTGGGCAAATGGAGACGCTATGATGGACTATGTCGATCAGCGGAATCTCCAAACCACATCGTGCTTGGGGTGGTGAGAGTGGCAGCAATTCAGAACTGTTGAATTATCAAAACCACTTGAGCAAGACCCTCAGAGCATGCCCCTCATCTGGGACCTGGGGCGGGTGGGAGACTGGGTGGGACTTCTCCCTTAAAATCTCCTTTTACATCAGACATATTAAGGAGACAATGTGGAACTAACAGTCTTACCCATCTTCCTGTAGTGCTTGAACCTTTTTACCCTAATTATGTCAAGATTGTCAAAAATAATAAATTAAAAAAAATAATAACCCTCGCGGTTCCCTGTGGCCTGTGCTGGGTCTAGGAGTGTCAGGGCCTGCTGTCCAGCTCAGAGCAGCTGGCTGATTCCTCGTCAGGCCTCGTAGAGCAGGGGATTGAGAGTCTCAGTAAGTGTGGCTTGAGCTGCCTGGTTGCCCCTGCTCCCATGTTTAAAGGTGTGATTAATTGCAAATTGTTTGGCGACTCAGCCAGTTACATAAGTTGCAAAATTAAATAACCTGGCCTAGATAAGGTTTGGCTCGAATTTGAAATGAAAGGTTTATCCTTTCCTCTTCTCTTGGTCATAGGAGATACTTAAATAACATTTAAAAAAATTCATTAAATTATGCCACACACACTCACCTAGCACACTTGTCCTCTGGCTGGGACCAAAACTCTGAGTTGGAAATTCAGTACCACATGGCAGAAACCCAGTTCCGTGAGCCTCCATTGCTGCCTCGCCGGTCTGCGGGGAGCAGGGGTCAGGACGGAAGCGAGTGCTGAGCCTGGATCCTCTGACCTTGGGATCATGTTTGTGTTGCTGTCTCCACCAGCACCTTACTTGCTGAGTCCAACACCGAAGCTGATAGGAGGTTTCTTAAGCAAGAGGAATTCCAGGTTGTTTATATGGACAGAAATACCATGGCCCAACTATTCAATGTACACATGATACCTCTTTACATTTTTGTCCTTGTTACAAATTATTATTAATAATAATTATTAATATTTATAATATTAGCATTATTAACACACCAGCATTAATAATATAATAATATTGTTATTGATTATTCTTACTAATCATTAATACTATTATTAGTATTATTTTTTGTAGGAAGGTAGTTTTTTTTTGTTTCAATCTTGAAAGAGCACCCGTTTTGAACTGAATCCAAGCATGAAAAAAATTTAAATTTTCTTAAAGCAATAAAATTTCTACTGGCATCAGCTTTCTATTTCCAATTACATTGTGATCACATAAAAAGCAAGATTGGATATTACTAAGATTTAGTTTTCATAAGAAAATAGAACGACAGATTTATAAAAACGGTGTTTGCATGTTGAATTCTTGGTCGTCCTTTAATGAGTTGTGACCAGGATCTGTGTAAGGGTTTTTTTCAGGGAAGCAGTGGCTTTTATCAGTTTACCTGTAAGAGACTACGCTTGGTAGGTCAGGTGAAGCTGACCCCTCTGACTGACAGATTGTGGGTTATAACAGGAACTGAGGAGGTGGATAACAGCCTTTGGATGTCAGGTTCCATGTGCAGTGGAGGGACCAGAATACATGGTTTCATTTTTGCAGAGAAAATTCTGTTTCCATTGCTAGTTGTTTACAGAAGAGTAAATGAAGAAATAGAAAGTTAAAAAAAAATTGAGTTGGATATGTTTGTTCCTGCAGTCTCCCGCCGACAGGTCTCAGAAGATTCACGCTGGTGACGAAGTCATTCAAGTTAACCGGCAGACTGTGGTGAGTTGATCTGCTGCATTGAAATGTTTGCTTGTTACTTTTCGTTGTGTTGGAAGTGCAGAGGGACACAGAAAGAGAAGCAAACATCGAGATCTTTCATTTATGGATTCACTTCCTAAGTGCTTATGTTAGTCCAGAATGGGCCAGGCTGAAGCCATGAGCTTGGAGCTCAGTCTGGGTGTCCCACAAAGATGGTGGGGACCTCGGTACTTGAGCCATCGCCTGCTGCCTCCAGGATACATATTAACAGAAGATGGAATTGGAAGTGCAAACCGGACACTCTGACGTGGGTATCCCAAGTGGCCACTTGAACTCCTGTGCCAAAAACACAGTCTGGCTTACTGGGACTCCTTTACAACTTTTTTTTTTTTACAAAGATTTATGTATTTTTATTGGAGAGGCAGACCAGATTTACGGAGAGACATAGAGTAGCACTCTGAGTAGTGTTTGTATCTGCCTGTTTTTGTGTACCACTTGGTTCACAATTGTGATGTCTAAGAAATTCGTCTTGAGATTTGCATGTTTATGAACTGGTCTTCATTCCTCATTTTTGTGCTTTGAAGGTGGGGTGGCAGCTTAAAAATCTGGTCAGAAAGTTGAGAGAAAATCCCACTGGTGTGGTGTTACTGCTTAAGAAACGGCCTTCGGGTTCTTTCAACTTCACCCCTGCTCCTCTGAAGAACCTGAGGTGGAAGCCGCCCCTGGTGCAGGTACCGCTTGTCGCCCGGGGCCTTTCCCTTGCTGCAGTAGTGGTCAGCCATGCTGGGTGGGTCTGTCTCTAAAACACAGGATGAAAATTTGAAGGTGATTGGTTTCAGGAGTTTGTGTATGACTGTCCTGTGGTCTTATAAGATATACTCCTTCATTTTCATATGTTTATGAGAATATAAAGTACCAAATCAGTAGTGATGTATGGTAGCTCTTAGCCATGCACAGCTCTTTAAATAAATTCACAGTTCAGTTCTTCAGTTTCACTAGTTGTCTTCCAGGTGCTTCCAGCTGTAGTTGCTAACTAGTTCTCATAACCTGGAAATACCTGTAAAAGAAAGAATTTCTTTAGGTCACGATTTCAGAAGTTCAAGTCTAAAATTGGGCAGCCCTACTGCTTTGGCATCTAATGAAGGTGACCATGGAGGAGCAGGATCATGTGATGAGTGCACAGCAGCCAGGGCTGGGGTCAGCTCATCCTTCTTGACCAGTGCTTTCTGGGAACCTCCTCTTGAGGGCACACCCCCTGACCACAGTGCTTCCCCCTGGTCCCACCTTCCAAACACCATCACTGGGTTAAGTTTCCACTCTAGCTTATGGCCTTGAGGTTTAAATATCTGCATGAATTCAAGACCAAATTTTGTTCAAGCTGTGGCATTGGCGTTGCAGAAAAGTCCATACTCGTCTTCCTGTCTCCTTTCCAATACTCCCTTAGCTCCTGTATGTGGTTTGCTGAGCAGCCACATGGGGTTGAGTCCTCAGCAGCATGTTACCAAGGCAGAGTTAGTGTGATGGCAACAATCCATCCAGTGGAGAATGAGGTCATATCACAGGTTAGGCATTAGCTACAAGTGCCAGTCTGTGTTGATAATACAAGACAAATTGGTTGCTACTGTTTGAATTATCTTCAAATAACGTGCTCCTTATTGTCCCCTTATTGCTGGTTCACTCGCAAAAAATAGCTGCAATGACTGGGACTAGGTTAGACTGTTGCCAGGAGCTTGGAACCCCAAACAGGATATCCCACATGGACATCCAGTGCCCAGGTACTTGGGCCATGTTTCATTGCATTCCTGGGCACCTTAAGAGGGAGCTGGGTCAGAAGAGGAGAAGCCAGGACTCAGTGGAGTGCTGGCCTTGCAGCACAAGTCTATCCAGACATAGTGCAATCATTCATCACACTGGAATGTGTAGCCAGTGCCTGGGAGTACCTGTTGAGTTCTGAAGGAGACGTGGGTATGGGCGTTGTAGAGGACAGTCTGTCCTCCAGATGAGATGGGAAGAGTGGGTTGGAGCCTGGAGGAGCAGGCTAGGTTTGCATTGGCCCTTGGTTGTGCATGTTGAGAGGGAGGTATTCGTGCAGACCACATGGATTTAGTGTGATCAGAGACGGCAGAGTGTTGGGAAAGGTCTCGTAGAAGCACCGCCTGGGATGTACTCTCTTGTTGGCCATTTTGGAGGCTGTGTGCTTCAGGCCAAGCTTGTAAGGGAGAGAGGAGAGCAGAATAAAGGAGGGGAGGCAGCCAGAATGCCCACTCACTTCAGGGCTGGCCCTCACACCCATGGAGCGGTGATGTTGCTGGTGAGTTTTTGCTGAATAAATCATTTACTGCTCACCGAGACTTGATGTGAGAGTCATGAACTTTGAAAGAGGAAGCAGTTGAGGGTTGGATGTTTCAGGCCTTTGCTCAGAGCTGGGATGCTTGCCTGTCGGCCTCTGCCCTTCACAGCTCTGTCTTTTATAGTCACGCTCTGGCACTGCCCTCTCCAGCAATGGCTGAGTGTCTTCCAGAGCAAGGCAGCTGAGTCACAATCGTATTCTGGGCACGGCCTACACAGAGGCCGGTGCTGGGAGGGCACGAGTGCACCAGTGAACCTCTCCAGGGTGGACCTCTTCTCATTTTGGATCTGGCACCTGTTTCAGACGTCACCCCCACCCACGACAACACAGTCTCCCGAGAGCACGATGGATACCTCGCTGAAGAAGGAGAAGCCAGCCATCCTGGACCTGTATATCCCCCCACCGCCGGCCATGCCCTACTCGCCCCGGTAGGTGTGCATCCACCTGCCCTCTTTGGGCGTGCATACCTCCTGTGTGTGGTTATTCACGAGTCGGAGTGAAGACCACCGGGTCTTGAGAGAGGAAGCAGCAGACCCTTGAAACAAGTGCGAGAAGGCACGGTAGTTCCGTCTTAGTGCTGGGCCAGTGTGGGAATGGATCAGGGCTTCACTGGACTTGAGACTTGCAGCTTGGGGCACGGGGGAGGAGGCCCTTGAGGGGAAGAACATGGAAGAGTCTCACTTGTGAACAGTTTAAGAAAGCGTCTTCTTCTCCTGGGACCTTGGAAGGGACGTGCTTGTTGGGAGTTACTGGAGCTAACGTTCTGTTAACCTCAGCATAAATCCGACATTGAGGTGGAAGACAGAATGTTACAGCTTTATGTTGCTCACAGATGGGTGCTGCTTGGGGCTTTAGAAAAAAGCAAAGCAAAACAAAAAACAAAAAACCCTTTGGGTGTGGGGTTGGACTTGACATATGTGTGAGTTGCTTGCTTCTGTTGACGATAGCCTCCACGGGAAGCAGGGTCCCAAAGGAACACGTGACACATGGCCTCCCTCTGACCCAGCATCTCACCCATGTAAAGCAAAGCTGTGGAGTTGCTTTCTTCTCTTTTGTTTAATTGGGTATCTTCAGTGTTACGTGGTGTAATGAGGGTAGTCACACTGGAAGGGTTACTGAGAGCAACTTCTGCAGTCATGTACCACTGCTAAGCCAGAGAATGGGACTCATTTACTCAGTGTATGTTTATACTGAGCACAAGGCCTGCGTAAGCACCTGACACAGAACGGAGTCAGTCCCAACCCACAGAGAACTGCCAGTGAACTTCAGCTGTTCATTGGAAAATACAGCTTTAAGCTCCGCTGTTTCCTAAGTCAAAGTCTGAGCTGAATTGGTGATGGTAACACATTACTTTATATGGGATTTGTCTTCTGTTTTTGTTAGAAGCCATCCCCAAAAGATTTGCTATTGTTTTCTTCTTTCCCAGGTCTTGGTTTACCCATGGCTAATTACAGCATGCAGAAAAGTTACTTCAAGTGATCAGAGACATCCTGGTTGGTGGCCAGACCTCTTGGCTGTTTCCACAGGCCAGTCTTGTGGCCTCGGGCTCCTAAGGATGTGCAAAACTTAGGTCATTGTTACTTTGGAATATAGGGAGCAGAGTTCTCTAACAACCAACACGGGGACTGCTGAGTTAACAGTTGTACAGGGATTGCTGCTCTGACCCCTGATGGCCTGGACTTGGCCTCACAGTAGGTCACAGCGTAATGGAAAGAAAGAGAAAAGTCTACCATGAGGGCAAAAAGGAAGCTGGGGCTCTTCAGCTACTTGGAGAAGACAGGCACGGAATCACGGAGTCACACATGCACAGACTCCGATCCTGAATGCTGTTTGGTGAGGATTGAAAAAATGCAAATGGGCTACGGAGAACTAAGTAGCTTTGTCACTGGGGGAATTATATACCAAGTTCAAAGGTGAGAGAGGATAGGCAGGAGGGATACCTGGGCAGCTGGCTCACCTGGGAACCCATGCCCAGGCAAGGTTGATCATTGCATTACCGTTGGGCGTATCTGACTATGTTTTGCTTAGTGGGTTTGGTACTAGTCATCCAATAGAATTTGCTAAATGGGAAAGAATTAAATTAGCTAATAACTTGCACACCACTAAAAGCAAAGTTTTATTGTAAATTGACATTTAGGTAGTATTAGGGCGCGATTGGTGATCCAGCTATTGTTGGCTTCTGTGCTTAGTTTAGAAACAATTCATTGTTCCTTGGTTACTGTAAAGGCCCCTTTATACTTTTTGTACATGATTCTCACGCCTAAGCACTTCATCGTACTTCCGGGGTCTCCCTTGCTGGCTCTTCCTGAGGGTACTACTCGTTGGCATGAAGAGAATGGTTTGTGGCTTACACTGTAACTCATAATGCCTGTAGACAATGGAAGATTCATCTACAGGACAGAAGCTTGGGGAAATCAAAGCTTTTCCGAAGTGTGTTTGTACCAGCTTGGCATATGTGGAATGGCATTGCATTACTCTAATTTCATAGAGTCATGGCATTTGCTCTTATTTCATATAAGGATCTGTATGTATTTGGTGAACCACTAGACTTGGAAAGAGTCATTCCTTTCCCTCCAGTGTGTGTCAGAGACAGCGTGACTCAGTATTCGGTAGGAGAGAATATTCGTAAGCAAACAAACGATTGCACATTATCTTCCAGGGAGGAGAGTGGGGGCTTTGTTTACGGAGGATTCAACAGGAGTAAACAGCCACTGCCTGCCCCCAAAGGCTCGGAGTCCCCCAATTCCTTCTTGGATCAGGAGAGCCGGAGACGAAGGTTTACCATTGCAGACTCTGACCAGTTGCCCGGGTATTCTGTGGAAAGCAATCTTCTACCCACAAAAATGAGAGAGAAAACACCATCCTATGGTGAGTTTCCCTCCAAGTGCTTGTTCGGTTCTGCCATTTGCTCTTGCTCCTCTCTCCCACCCCCTTCCTTGTTTGGAATTGTTGGATGAATTTGGCAGACCTTGAGGGTAACCCGAGGAAAATATAAACCTCAATGAAATTCTAAGCACCAGACCTCGAGAAAGCAAAGCCCGTTGAGTCACTGCTCTGCTTGCCATCCGCGTCCAGCTGTGTGAGATCATTTGACAATTTTAACTTTCCGTGCCGGGTTTCCCTTCACAGTTGCTTTGCTCCGTAGACTTGCAGACCTGAGGATAGCATGCAATGGAATTACAGTGTTTCAGAATATTTTCCTTGTGGTGTGGTATTGCGGAGTTTAAGCTTAAGGAATGAAATGTTTAAAGTTCCCAGATCAAGCAATGTCACTTTCTTCTCGTCCCTTGAAGGCAAGCCCCGACCCTTGTCCATGCCTGCAGACGCCAACTGGATGGGGATTGTGGATCCTTTTGCCAGACCTCGAGGTCACGGGAGGAAAGGTACGTTTTTTCAACTGAAAAGCACCATTGGGGAGGAGAAGATGTAGGCCTGTGGCAACTTCATTTGTCAATGTGTTACACACTAGAGAGAGCACCCTTCGTTCCAGAAGTCAAGCTTGCTGGCAAGCTCTGAGACCCTGCTGATTTCTTGAATGGTTGAACTGCATAATCCTGTTCATTGAGTGCAAATCGCTGTTAGCACTGTGCGCTCTGTAAAGGTTGTAGGTGAGCAGGACGCATGCATGCAAGTACATCCAGGAGACACGGAGAAAGCAGTGGTGGGATGAGATGAGCGTTCTCCTGAGGTCTGCTCCCAGCAGTACCATCAACTCTTCACAGTCCCCAGGACCCACCTGGCTAGACAAGACCAGCAGGCTGACATATCTGACCCAGCAGGATGATGTCATTTATAGAACTCGTGTGAGCTGTGGCGGTCAGAGCTCCCTGTTCCTTGGGGTGCCACCCACAGCAGGCCTGCCCGTGGGGTTCACCAGCTGCGGTCCGTGCAGAGCCTTCACTGTCTTGCTGAAGCATGAGCTGGGCACCGCTCTGGTGCTCAGAGTCCTGAATGCTTACTGGGTTGGGGAAGATTCCACATATCAAGTCTTGAATTCTGTCCTCATGGACCCATTCCCTAAAGCTAACAGAAGACATCCAGGTCTCCCACGTGAGTGCAGGGTCCCAAGGCTTTGGGCCGTCCTCGACTGCTTTCCCAGGCCACAAGGAGGGAGCCGGAAGGGAAGTGGAGCAGCTGAGACATGAACTGGTGCCATATGAGATCCCGGTGGTTGCAAGATGAGGATTTAACCACAAGGTTACTGTGCCAGGACTACCAGCCTACTTTTTAAACAAATAGAAATAAATTCCTTGTTAAGTAAATTCATCCCAGATCTTATAATTATCGTAGGAAGTCAGAATCTGACTTCTGATGAACATAGATTTTTTTCTCTCCTCAGTCCTTCTTATGCTAGAGAATTATTAGTCTTTGAAAAGAAACTTGGGTTTACTTCTCCCTGTAATCATGTAAATGTAATATATTTTTGCTAGATTGCATTTGATTGTTAGCATCGGCAGGACACAGGATAAGGGAGAGGTTAAGATACAGTAGGCAGTGAAAGGCGAGTGCAGAGTTCTAGAAGACGGACTTTGCAAAGTGTCTGGTCCCTGACATTTACTAGGGACTTGGTAAAGTTCGTCTCATGGGACCTGTACCTGTTGGACTGTGGTAATATGGCTAAGGGACGAGATCGATGGCCAGAATTCAGGATCACCTTATAGAGCATGTGAAAATCTGGAGCAGTCAGCAGGTGGCAGGGCTGTCCTTTGTTTGAAGAGACTCGGGGATGCTTACATGTTCACATTCTCAGGAGCCTGAATTTAGCCTTTGATTTCTTTTTATGTTGAGACTTGGAGAAGGGAGGTTGGAGAGTATGTGATGCAGAAATTTAAGAATATTTGTTCTGTTTGCTTTTGTTGTTGTTGTTGTTGCATGATTGCCTTAGAATGAGATATCTGTCTATGCATGGCTAGGTCATCAAACAAAACCTCCACCTTACTGGGCCGTAACTTACCCAGTATAAAGTCGATCTTGTGAAGTATGCGTGTCAGTGAATGCTGCTGCGTGCACAGAGCTGTCCGTGCTGCTTCTCGCCCACCAAGATCCTGCACCGTTTATCAGTCTCTGTCTTTCAAGCCTGTTTTTGCCTAAACTGTGCCCAATTTGGACATTTCATATCAGTATTCACACTCATATGCAGGAGGCTTTGAAGACACTTTTTAAAGGAAATGATGCTGATTACAAAAGCAGAACAAGTGCGTTGAAGAGCAACCAAAAATTCTGAGAAAATAGCATGTAGATTCTGCTTCAGCAACCTAGAAACGGTGACTGTCTGGTTTGTGACCCTCCTAGTAATTCACAAATCCACGGAGGGCCTGTGCAGTGCTATCTAGAACACGCCGTTTTGAATTAGTCGCATCCCTGTTCCCTCTTGTGGCCGCGCCACCTGCTGACTTGATCTGAGTGCTGACACAGAGGCAACTTTGGGTTTTTGTTTTCCTCTTGGTTATAAATGCTTCAGTCAGCTTCCTGGGACACAGATCTGTGTACTTTTTGGGATATGGAATTCCTGAAGAATGCCACATGCCTGTGTGCCTTGCATTTTGAATTTCTACTTAGTTTCTTCATCCTGGGCGCCATTTGGCCTTTAAGGCAGGATCATACCTCTGGGTCAGGAGTGCCCATCATGGCAGGCATTAAAATTTCTAAGCCTGTTTCACTGTGGGTGAATCATGGCTGTCCTTCCTACAAGCTGACAACCGGGGCATTGCCCACCTTGCCTTCCTAAGTGCCCCATCGGAAGGTCCCAGGGGAAGACACCTGCATCAGGATGGCAGGGGACAGGTGACAGCCTGGGCTCTCTGCTTGCTCCTTACTCTGTGTTACCTCCCAGCTATGACGGTAGCCCGGGTTCAGTGGGCTTTGTCTGTTTTCTGAATCTCTAGAGCATGTGTGTGTGAGTCCATGCAGGGAGAGCGCAGGGCACGCAGCTCCCCTGGGAGTGAGCAGCCTCAGAAGTTGGGGCAGGTGCCCTGGATTGTTGTCTTAATGCACTTGTGGGCTCTGTCTGCAAACAGGGGAAGAAGCTCTTTGCCGGTATTTCAGTAACGAGCGGATTCCTCCCGTCATTGAAGAAAGCGCCTCTCCCCCGTACCGCTTCTCCAGGCCTGGGACAGAGCGACATCTGGTGCGTGGCGCAGACTACATCCGAGGGAGCAGGTGCTACATCAACTCTGATCTCCACAGCAGCGCCACCATCCCATTCCAGGAGGAGGGGACCAAAAAGAAAGCCGGTGCCGCAGCAGCCAAGTCCTCCTCCACGGAGCGGTCTCTGCTGGTCAGCTGGCTTACGCGCCTGAGACTGCTGACCCACTGAGCGTGTGCCCTGCATGCCTTGCTGTCTCCTGCTACAAGTGCCTTCTTTGGTATAGCCTTGCGGATCTCATGCACAGTGTTACATCGTGACCTTGCACGATGCCTGCCTTCCTTGCTTCCTGAGGTTTCATGACTACCCCTCTCAGAAATGTGAAGGACTTGGACGATGTAGCCAATCCAGAGGCTCCCAGGTGTGAGCTTGTGGAAGCGAAGGGAGGATGTGACTAGTCTGTGCTGTTTCGGCTTCCCTGAAGTTGGAACGGTTAGACACTCTGTAGACATGGCATCTTGGCCAAAAGGATGGCCGATGGGAGGAATGGGGTCAGCGTTCTTGGGTTTTGTGGGGTTACAGGGAGTGGGTCCTCAGCTTGGGAGCAGTTGTCACATAGATGTGTTCGATTGTGGACCAACTACTTTACCTGAAGAGCCAGTGAAGGAAGCATTGTTCGATGTTGCAAAGCTATATTCCATTTCTGTAAGTGTGGCAGCTTTGAGGTTGCTCTAAGCACGTGGGGAGTGACTGATGACTTCAGAGCAGAAGTGTAATAAGCTCTGCCTGGGGAGTCCAGTCTTTGTATAGGTCAGTTAATACGGAAACACATGGATACACATTTTGATACACATAGATACACATCTTGTAACCATACACAAAGAAACGTGTGGTCATTTGTATTGTTGTTATTGCCTGTTGTTTAAGGGAAAAGAAACTGTAAGATTTGTGACTGCCAAAGTATCATTCAGAAAAGTGAAGCAAGAAGATTGATGAGAAACACATCAGTTTGCATTTTGACCTGTTCCATGGCCATCTTCCAGAAAAGAACCTCTGCAGGTCTCTAAGGTGGTGCACATATTCCTAGCTAGAAATATCTTGGAGAATCTCAATGGTCACTCATTTTCAACTAGCATCAGGTATTTTGAACACAGTGTGTCTGGATATTAACTCATGTTTAAACTGAATGTATGATATTTTGTTAGAATGAAAAAGTGTACTATCTTGTTAATTTAAGTTTTTAAATATAGTTGTATATTTTTCTTACTCTTAGTCACATGTAGCTGAAGTATTGTTTCGCGTCATTTATGAAGCCGTTGAGAAAGAGTGATCACGTTATTGGCAGATGTGCGTGCGGGTGGTATTCATGGCTGCATGCACGTGGTGAAAAAAAAATAAACCCTTCCAAGCAATCTGGGATTTTATGGACTAGACATGGAGGAGCTGAAGAAGTGTGTTTAAAGTGAAATTGCCCTTGGTGAATTTTTCAAGTATGTTCCTAAGCAAATCTGGTAGCGAGGAGCCCCCAAGCACCCTGTCTTGCTGCTGCCATTACACACGTAGCTGGACCACCTGAGACTGAGTCCAGGGGAGACTGACCAGTGGGTCAACCTCCGCTTTGCCACATCTTCCTGGGAGCTTCAGGAGCCCGTAGCCACTCAGATGAATGTGGCTGAGGTGACTGAAGTGGAAATTTGGGCAGCACAACAAGCAGGATTCTCGGGTGTTAGGCAGACAGGGATGGAGGTGCTTAGAGTGTGGGCCTCACTGGGAAGGACTTGACTGGCCAGGTGACTCATTCGCAGCAGAACAAGAACAACAACAAAAACAAACAAACAAACACCACTTGTGAATGGAATGACTGCTGTTGAAGTGAATTTTCACGACCCTGAAGATGGGCCATTGAAGCTTCCTGGGCACCATTTCATTTGGCCCCTGCAGCCCCATTCGCATTGTGTTTTAATATGGGAGTTTTCTCCTGAATTGCATTAAATAATGTATTGCTGCTGAAAAAATGTGTAAACTTCTATTGAAGCACATCAGTAGGTTAATGCAGGTTTTCTTAGCAGTGAATGGAAGCTTCTTGCCCTGATGCTGTCAGGGTTCCCAGGCGGGCTGATGCTCCGGCAACATGACCAAGGTTCAGCTGAGCTGGTTAACTGTTCCCACACTGCTGAAGAACTGCAGGTTAGGGACTCACACCTGTGAGGCCACCCTCAAGAAGGTCCCCAGACTACCCTCTCTCCTAGGTGCTGCCGGCCATTGTGCATCCATGCTCCGAGGAAGATGGTCCACAGTTGGCTGCGGGAGTCACACTTGGGTCTGGCTTGCTGCAAACCAGTCTCCCTCGCCAACCTTTATGTTCATCTCGGAAATCATGACACGAGTTGGAGGAGAAAATTCAGAAATTAGCTTCGCAGTGATTAAAGAAGGAAGAAGGCATATTCTCATTATGTTTTCTGTCCTTGCCCAGAGCATTGTAAACAACTGCTTGTGAAAGAATGATTAAAAGGAAAGAACGTATCAGGAGAAAAAGGATTAAAAGGAGAGAAATTGTTTTTCTACTGTCTAGACTTGTGGAAAAGGACTTATAATTTTATTGTTAGGGGAATGAAGATTAGATTTTATTTTAATATATTCTTTCACCCTTTGGGCTTAATTTTGTTTAAATCCTTTCATTATTTTATGTAATCATGAAAGTGCTTTAAAATTATGTAATCTAAAGTAACATTGTCTCTGAAGTGTGAGGTTGTGCTAGTCCTTTAGTACCATGTCCTGTTTTCGTACTCATATTCTGTTACATGCTGAATGTCCAAGAGAACGGAGGAGGTTTGGGGCGTTAGTATCCATCAGTAATCTTTGACTTGGTGGAAATCGGCACCAAGCTGAGAGAAGCAGTTGGGAGCTCAGGTTTTGTAGTTGGATAATCCAGTTCTACTTTGCTACACGGAAGCTCTGTGATGCAAAGCTGAACTCCCTGTCTTTTTCCTCCTGCGCAGTCTGTGGAATGGGGTAATAATAGAATCACCTTCACAGGTTCACGATGATTGTACGGGATAATGAGTTGCCCATTGAGTATACAGTGCTTAATGATGTTGAGCTTGATGCTAATGGGGTTTGTTCCCATCTTAGCCTCTAGTGAAAAAGGCCTCCAGAGTGGTCAATAGGAATTTTCTCTTTTATTTGGTCCCAAACCATCAAAATGATGCCACTGTTCTTTTGCCAAAAGGTTTCTGTGGAGTCTGATTAGGAAATGTGTTTGTTTGTTTTGGCTGAGCTGGAACTTACGTCTGCTTATGGTTGGAAATAATAGAATTCTTGATTTGTCATCAGGATGCCCTCCCTCTTCAATTCCCCCACAACATCATCCAGCAAGAAATCGTATGAAAACAAGGGAACTTTAAACATTTCTCCCATCTTCTGGTTCTCTTAGAGACTTTAGCCTCCCATCCTCATCTTGAAGTGCTATAGTTCTTTGTTTCCTGTAGTTTTTAAGACGGGAATAATGGGAGGGGCTGGAATCATGGTATAGCATGTTAGGCTGCCGCCAGGTATGCTATCATCCCATATGGGTGTTGATGTATGCTTGTTCCCGTTTCAATCTTGCTCAGGGCTGAAATGCCTGGGGAAGCAGTAGAGGATGTTCTGAGTGCTGGGGCCTCTGCACCCATGTGGGAGACCTGGATGAAAATTCTGGATCCTAGCTTCTACCTAGCTGGTCTCTGCCATTGTGGCCATTTAGGGGAGTGGAGCAGTGGACAGAAGATCTCTCTCTCTGTCTCTCCTTTTCTCACTGTAACCCTTTCAAGCAAATAAGCCTCCTTTGAAAACATGCATAATGTAGAATAGCACCTATTTTAAAAATTCCAGTTATGAGAAGGGACATTTCCCTAAATGTGAAGCCAAAACTGTGTTGCTTTTATCGCAGCCAAAGCTGAAGGATCAGTCATTGGATGCGTTCATGACCAATGCTTTGGTAGACAAACGGTACTTAAACCCACCTGATTTGGAATGCTACATTTTACTTTGAAATGCTACTGCTTTTTCTCTGATTTCTCCTTAATGACAAGAGGCCACTAGCACCTCCCTTACAGGGTGATCAATGGTCTCCATTTAGTCTTCAGAAAACGTGATTTCGAATGCCACTGTTAACAAGTTGGCATCATGTGTTACTTTAACCACTAGTGAATTTCAGTTCATGCATTTCTACTAAGTGCTAGGTTCCAAGCTCAGCAGCCAAGGTCATCTTCAACTCGGAATGGAATTCGTTGGTGTCTGGCTTCATCCTGTTAAATGTGTGGTTCTCCAGCTCATATTTTGAAACTTAGTTTTTTTAAAGATGTGTTTTCATTTGAGAGGCAGATTTACAGAGTGAAGGAGAGACACAGAGGGAAAATCTTCCATCCACTAACTGGATGCTGAGCTGATCCAGAAGCCTAGAGCTTCCTGCAGATTTCCCATGTGGGTAGAGGGGCACAAGAACTTAAGCCTTATTCCATTTCAGTCCACAAGCCAGTAACTGGTTCAGAAGTGGAACATCTGGGACTAGACGTTCTGGGACCCATATGCAAACGAGAATTAGCTTGTTAAGCCACCATACCAGCCCTTTAGTTTGAAACTTTCTAGGCCAAAACTATACACCTCATTTAATACATAGAACAAGTATTATTGAAGTAATAAGGTGGTGAAAAATGAGAGTGAAGTAGTGAAAAATAAGAAAATACAGCTTTTCTATGAAAAGGATTTTTATTGTAAATTATTACACCCAGGATTCTTTTCTGTTGGAATGGATTTCATGTTGGAGAAAATATATCAGATGTCAAAATGCCATCATATCTGTAGAAAGAATGAAACTTGGCTGCCAACAGCAGCTTGTTGGGTTACAGAAATTGCTGAGCATGTAATCAGAAGTCTACAAAGAACACATTTAAGTCTCATAAGTCAGTTTCAAATGAGTTAGAGACAAATTCCTGGTGAAAGTCAACACAAATGATTATGCCGCCAAATTTACGTGAAACAGGGGCAGTTCCAATTGCCTGAGACGTGGTTGAATGAGAATAGTTTCTACCCAAGAAAACCAAGGCACACATGCTAAGGGAGTGGACTAAACAGGAATTTCCCTTCAATCCAAGGGGACGGATGATAGAACCACAGGGACAACTGCTTTTGCTCTTTATGCTGTTGAACTTGTCTGAGACGTGAAAGTTTAAATGCAATGCTGTACTTTAGTCATTGCCTCACTGGGATAATCTGAGCCTATGGTATTCTGCTTTAGTGAAGCAAGGAGAGATTCTGCCCCCATGCACTCCTACACTCCAAAAATGATGCCCTGAAAAGATGATAAGCAGCAGGAAACATTTATCTGTGATGCTGCTCAACAGAGAAAAAACAACTAAAAGGCAGAGCTCCAATGACTAAACAAACACTTTTGCAAACAGCAGATAATGGGGACGACTATTACTGGGGCTCTAGATGGTTGTTTTCCCTTGGTTAATACTTCAGGGTGTATTATCAACAGCACTCTTGTAGAATTAACAAAATGCAGACAACTCTCATGTGGGAAATGAGACTGATTCTATTCTTGGCAATGGAAAATCCTTTGGTGCCTGCAGATGGGAACACTGCTCATGGGCTGGGTGTTTGCATTTGTGCTTAAGATACCACTTGGGACACCTACATCTCCTGCCAGAGTCCCTGGGTTCAAGACTTGGCACAGCTCCCAATGCTAGCTGTTTGCAATGATGGTTTAATGACTTGGGTCCCTGCCACCAACATGGAAGATCTAGATCCAGTTACCAGATCTTGACTTCAGCCTGGTCCAGCCCCAGCTGTGGGAGGAAGGAAGGAAGAAAGGAAGGGAGGAAGGAAAGAAGGAAGGAAGGAAGGGAGGGAGGGAGGGAGGGAGGGAGGAAGGAAGGAAGGAAGGAAGGAAGGAAGGAAGGAAGAAAGGAAAGAAGGAAGGAAGAGAGGGAGGAAGGAAAGAAGGAAGGAAGAGAGGGAGGCAGGGAGGAAGGGAAGGAAGTGAAGGAAGGAAAAGACATCCTGCATGGAGATCACTTGTCCTCCACTCACTTGGAGGAACTTTCCCCTGTTTTGGCACCTTTAATCTGCTTTCCCTTTTCTACCTGTTCCCTCTGATTCTGGGCCACTTAGTCTGGGTGTTGCCTTTGTCTTTCTTTTGCGCGACGCTACCCAGTTTCCTCTCTTGTTGACTTGCTTGCCTTACTCATATCATTTTCTGCCGTTTTCTTGGGTTTCCAACAGTGGGGGAAAACTTTTGTAACAACTGGAGGAATAAGGAACAAATAATGCAGCCCACAGTTTCCTCTGGACATATACATTTGCCAAGAACATAACTTGGTGGTTATCTAATCGGTTTCCAAAGGCTTGGGGAGAATAATT